AGATTAATTGAGAACTTTCTAAGTTTAATTGGGTGACAATTGCCTAAGTTCAGTACCAAGACAAAAAAACTTAATTACTCTCTTTACCAAGGATACTGTTTAAAATGAGGATCTTACATTATTCTAATGCCAGAAATTACTATCCTCAATACCGGATTTCTCGACTCCCTGATTCTCCCCCAACACCCAAAACAGACTCCCAACCAGGTTACAAAGAAAATAATGATTCTGTATATATATATAAGGAGACTCACCAACTCACTCAGGGGGTGAAAATTTTCATCCAATGAGACAACACGAAACTTCACTGAAACAGAAATATTTTTTATCACTAGAAATCTTAAACCAGGCCTATAGGCTGGTAAGACAAACCATTAAGAAACCAGTATTATAGGGCTTTTGATTGGGGAATACGTGGGGGAGGATCTTTCCTTTTTGAAGTTGTTCTGACTTTGGCCTGTTTGTACCTGTCTGTCCTGGTTTGTAGATAGGTTTGTCTGTCTGGACAAAGACCAGGCTCTCTTGGTTTTTAACCAGCACTGTGGTCTGCCTTCTGAATTCGTGGGTTGCTCCTTTCACTTGGACAGAAAGAAACATTACCTCTTCACTGGATGGAGATCTTGGGACCTGAAATACAGGAGAGATCGGAGAATCCATTCAGTCTTCAATGTTTCCTCCTCCATCCCTGTTGCACTCCTCCCTGGAGATATTGCTCTTTTACTTAACTTCACTCCCTCATTCTTATCACAGAAAATTGGCATGGACAGAAATTATTTTTTTCATTTTACAAGTAGAGAGACAGGACATAAGATGGAGGAAAATACCTCAGTAAGAAAGGACATAAATGAGATTCACATCACCTTATAGATCAGTCTTGATTCAGTTATACACTGAACTTGACCAAGTTTTTATGTGCTGACAGGGCAAGGTAAAAGCATATTCAGGCCCATGAGAAAGAAAACTACAATATTTTATTACTATAGGTTGTGGGCATTTTATATATGGGCAATGCTGAAGAGTTACTGGATATTTGCTCATGGTAATTTCTATAACTTTCACTCTTAGAAAGAGTATGGGGTGATGTATTCCTGTCAGCCCACCACTGGGGGCTTATGTTGAATATTGGCCTAGTTTGCTTTATTAATCTTTTTTTCTCATTTAATTTTAAGAAGTCACCTTTTCCCT